ATACAGCCGTCCATTCTACTACGAACTACACCCCTTATGAACTTATGTTCGGCAATAAGCCTTTTATTCCAAACTCCATATTTGACGAGAGCCCGGGGGTAACTTACCCTGAATATGTCCGAATGCTACAGAATCGCATGAAACACTCACGCGAAAAGGCTATAGAACACATTCAACGCTCCAAAACCATATCCAAAACTTATTACGACTCTCACACAAGAGCCGTCCAGTATAAGGTAGGCGACTATGTGTACTTGAAGAATCACCTCCGTTTACGGAAGGCACTATCACCTATTTGGAAAGGCCCGTATAAGATCGTAAAAATACATGGTAATAATACATTATCTCTATTGATCAATCGTCGCCACATTCGCCATCACTATGATCAAGTTAAACCTGCAGAAGTCCAATTAAACCTGTAACATAAAATATTTTATAGATATTAACGAAATTAAACATAAGTTAGATTAGATAAAATGTACTAAGGAATCGATCAAGTACAATTATATATATAAAAAAATTAAAATAAAATAAAAAAATAAAATAAATTAAAATAAGATTTAATAACATGTCTTATTGTTAGTAACGATTATCAAATAAAAATTTAAAATAACCTAAGGGAAATAATTTAGATAGGTTAAATCAGCTATAACTAGAATAGATATAATTAAGTGGAACTAGTATCTAAATTTATTATAATTACTTTCAGTATTTTGGTGGAGGTCCAAGGCCAACCGGAGTATGTACAGCAAATCAAGTCAAGCCCGGGACTTTACTTTGATTACCTAGGCGGACTTAAAATTAAAAATGGTCAATTAGATGTTTTGATCCCACTTGACATAACACATCTGAAATCTCATATAGTAAATGTAGACTCAGTCCTGAGTACCGCGAGAACCTTATGTAAACAAACAGGAGCGGTAGAACCTTCAGGATGTTTCAGTGTACTAGAACCATTAACATTCCTGTATCATGACATGAATCGAGAATTCATGTCAATTTCCCATCTGCTCGATAATAGGAGAAGACGCAGTGCTTGGATAAGCGGCATTGGAACCATGTTCAAACAGATATTTGGCACGCTTGACGAAGACGATGGTGTTAGATATAATAACGCTATAGAAGAGGTGCAAAATGATCAAAAGAAATTGGCTACATTAATGAAAGAAAACATTTTAGTAACGACGTCTGTAATTTCGTCTTATAATAAAACGATTAATAAAATAAAAATTAATGAAGCTAATTTAAATAAGGCTATTAATGAACTCTCAAGTAACCTTAGAAACGTCTCGATTAAAACTGATGAATTATTGCTCAAATTTCATGAAACTGATTTTCTAAATAAATTAGAAATGTCTATAATAGTATTGTCATTTCACATTGAGGACATCGTGAATGCTGTGTTATTTAGTAGACAAAATATATTGCACCCTTCGATTGTAAGTCCACAACAACTACATCAGGAACTGGTGGCAAGTCACAGACACTTGCCCGAAAATGTGAAGTTGCCTATTGTTTTAGATTTAAGCTCTATACATTATATTTTAAATATTTCTAGAATTATTTGTTACTTCATTAACAATAAGATTATATTTGTTTTACAAATTCCTCTCGTCTCTGATAAGAATTTCATGTTATTTCATAATATTGCTTTACCGACACCACATAATCAGAGTAACCCAAATTCCTTTAGTTTAATTTTACCAGATTCAAGGTATATAGCAATGACCAAAGACAAACTCCACTATTGTAATTTAAATAGCCTTGACAGCTGTAAAACCACCATAGGAAACAACTTCGTGTGTGACGTCAACAACGTGTACGCGACTGATGCCAAACCTAGTTGTGCAACTGAACTCATGTCTAAAATAATAAGTGAAATTCCAGTGCAGTGTAATACTAAATTTATTCGTGGAAAAGTGGATATTTGGAAACCTATAAATAATAATAAGTGGCTCTTTGTTCAAACGGACCCGAACAAAATATCTATAGACTGTGTTAATTCGAAATTGTACGAAAATAGTATATTGGGGACTGGCGTCATTACCATCCCCAGCGGCTGTACCGGGTTTTGTAAAAGTACCATGTTATTATCAAGATACATTACTGTAAATCTAACTTCTCCGGTCAAATCACCAGATTTCAACCTTCTCAACGATACGTGCTGTAATTTACATAAGTTTACTAAAGTAAGCAAAAATGTGCCCCAAATTGAACTGCTTAACATTGATTTAGACGAATTAAAAATGGAAAACAATATCTTAAAAGAGTCGAAAGATTTAGATGTAATTTTAAATAAACCACATATCATTCAGTATGGGACACATTACTCCACCTTAATAATTATAATAACCATTATTTTGATGATATGTTTATTTTATAAAATACTAAAATGTAGATCCTATGGCAACCTTCGTAATCTTCATACATTCTGGAAAAATAGGTCCTCACCTGCAGAAATTGACATAGACGGACAAGACATTGACTCTGACATCCCTATACCTACCTTACGTGCAAGAATTTAGCAAGAAACTTTCTTCACTCTAGAAGTTTCTTTTCTATGGGGGGAGATGTTATACATAACTCCTGGCAGCTATTATGCTGAACCCAGACGCTGCTGCATCAGCAGCCGTCTTCCCCCCTGAGATCGCTCCGTCGCGATCTCAGTCTGTTTCCTATCTCGATCGGGTGCGGTTGCCTTGGGGTCCTTACCTTTGTGCTACAATTATTTTACAGTTTATTAAATCATTTCCTTTTTTAAAAAGGCTTTCCTTGAGGACCCCATAATAGTTCGCAACGAGTACCAAATAGCTATTTTTGTAACTAATTTGTTTTACATTGACGAGCTGTAATTTATCAAAGCTACTATAATTTCTAGTAATAACATACAAATCAACTAGATGGCCCTTATGTCAAAGATTTTGTGGATACTGCCGGTTAATAATATATTTTGGATTAGCGCCATCTACCCATTAGCAAGCGATTATAACGGACTTCCGCCAGAAGGGAGTGCAGTAGGAGTCAATCTACTAGTCTAAGTCGTATGATTAGCGATCTGGTTGGCCTTTAAGGTAACGAGAGGATGTCCGTGAGTGTAATATTGGAAACTAGGCATTCCTAGTTGACAACGTTAAACGTCAAATCGTTTGTAACGGCTGCCCCATAACCAGTATGTGGATTCCACACTTTTTTTCTGGCGTCAATGAAACATCTAAACACTTTTTTTTTCACCCATTGATACTCAGGCTGTTGGATAAATGATATCATCTTCCGTAAACCATCTTTAACGACACGTGTGCTTTTTATTCTTTGCAATTCTTTATATAGGTATGCTGTCGACTGAGCGCGCATTTTCATAAACTCGTCTACATACGCTACTTTCTCTTGAAAATTTGGTGCACGCCTATAAACTCTTTTAGCATACCTGCTACCAGAACGTAAAGAAGCATCTATTTTGTTTGCTACTGGTCTTTCTGTTTCATTATAATTCACCGATCTTCTAAAATGTTGACTAACATTTTTATTCACGATAAAGTAAAAAATTATCTTATTGTCCGAGTCGACGATCGTTAAATCGTGTTCTTTGAGATACGACGCCAGTGATTCAACGTCATTGGTTAAATTATAAAATGCTTTGACGTAATTTATGCTTGCAATAAAGAAAAGTATGTATACCAATGACAGAACTATCATGGTGTGGGGAAAAAATTTAAAAAATGCTCATTATCAGAACATATTATTACTGAAGTGCACGCTCGAAACGCGTAACGAAAACATTTTATATTTTATTGCTAGTACAACAATTCGTTAAGGACTTCTTACGTGTTTTATGGTTTTATTACGACGCATAAAATGTATGCCAATGATTACTTTTTTATGGAGATTATGAGAAATATATGATATTGTATTATGTTGCACGCACGTGCACACATTGAGCGCATGAATAGGTAATAATATTTAAACACATTAATTTACTAAATTCTATATATAGGTACATTTATTTTTGTAGAAAAACGATGGTTTTACTGCCATGATATTTATCTATTTTTTGTGAAAATACTCCGCTATTTAACCAACTTCAAAAAAGGAGAAGGTTCTCAATTCCACTAACGTTTTTTTTCTCTTTTTTTTTGTATGTATGTCGCGTATGTGTATGTATATCGTCTGATAACTCCGGCGTTTTGTCAACCGATTTTGACGATTCTTTTTTGTTGGGGAAAAGGATACCTCAGTAGTGGTCCCATTTTGAAGTAAATATTCCACCTCTAAGGGTGTAATAATATTTTTTGGGAAATTACTCCACTAGTTTTATCTCGTCAATGTTCACTAATTTTTAAAATAATTATAAGGAACTCATCCATTTGAATCTCTGTCTCTTGAGATACAGGTTTTTACCTAGTTCAAGAGTCAGTGTCGTTACTTGCTACTACCTGTTCCACTTTCATTGTAATTGTTGTATGTGTATTATTGTATCTATTTGTAATTTGTGGAAATAAATAAATTTTATTATTTATTATTATTTATAGTTTGTTGTAAAGGTACTCTCAATTTTGTTATTAATACATGAAACTGGCGTATCATCCCTTTCCTGTACACCTGGCGCCCAATCGGCGAATACCTCGTACCAATTGGCCAATCCTTTCACCACGATGGCAACCATCATAGTGTATGCCATCGATACGACATACGACAAAAACAAGATTATTGATTCAAAGATCGAACAAATACAAAGAAAAATTCCCCCAGCGTGTGGCACGGTATTTCAGTTATATCGTTAAGAAAAATCTGCGTAATTGACATTTTTCACTAACAAAAAATATATGATGAAGGTCTATATCCTTTTTATCCATCACTGTTAATTGTTTAATGTAATGTTTTCGCTTATAATATTATGGTTTATGTGTTTTGTGGATAAATAAATATCTTTTTATTTCTCATTTTCTACAACAAAAATAACGGGTAATTATTGGTAAAAAGACATAAATAGATAAAAAGACGAACAAAGTAAAACTAAAAATTATAATTTCCGAAGCGAATATTTAGCAGCAATTATTTTTGGGCGTGGTGTTTGAAATTTTTTTGAAACAATATATACTGGATAATTGATGTATCGGAATTCCTTTTTTTGAGCATAACGGAAGTCCATCTGAAAATAAAAAAAAAACAATTAAACTTCTTTACACACAGCAAATTCTCTGATTGATCACCAACTTTAAATAGCGCTGTATACCATAATTCGTCTACAGAGGCTTACATAAATTACAATGTACAATTTTTCCTAAACCCTAGTTCGTCTGCAGAGGCTTACATAAATTACTTTTTTCCTAAGTCTCATACTAAACTGATTATTTTGTATACAGTTCTGTACATTATTGTTAAAAGCAAATAAACATTTATTTCTTTAAGCCGTGACTGTGAGACTCTTGAAGAGCCCGAAACGTTTGCATGTTTAAAAAGCGTAAATAGGGTTATTTGTAAAATGCTAACAACCTCTCAGGACTATATTACTAACAATATAAACAACTTTTTTTTCCATGTCTAACAAACAGAACGTTTAATCTCAATCAAAAGACAATTGAAGTACCTAAGTGTGATTACACACGTGCGATTGCATCGAAGCAAACGCGCGGCTGCATTGATACCAGTCGCTCATTATTATGTACGAAAAATCTGTATAGGTTTATGCACAATATTTTGTTTTGTTAATTGTAAATTTAAAAGTGAAATTAATAATTACGTTAAACACTTGGAGAGCGGGGGTCCACGCGAGTCGGGTCGGAATCGCGGCGGGTCTAATTCTGTGTAATTATATGGACGACAACACACCGAGAAGGGGCGTGCGCGTCCATATAAATACACGGAATTAGACACGCCGTGGTTCCGATCCGACCCGCGCCCAATCCGCACCCGCTTTCTGTGTATTAAAAAAAAATTGTAACTCCTGGTTTACTGTCGAAGTGCATGCGAGTAAATGTATAATATACCTTCAATATGCTTGAATACCTAATGTTTGACCGCACACAGTGAAACGTTGTGAAACTAAAGGCGCCTTCAAATTTAACGCTTGAAGAAGCGTTGCAATAAGTAGCGCGGCGCGCATCTGTAGCGCTTCAGTAATTTTTGTAGTTCACTAATTGTGACTGCAAAATTGGCGCACGCATGTTACGACCATAGACAACTATGTACATGTCATGACGGTGGCGCTGCAATTGCGCTTCCAAATATTGTATAAACATTAGAAGTGGCACAGCTGCATCACCACAGTGGCGCCATTGCAAAGCTTTTATAAGCGTATAATGTGAAGGTGCCCTTATTTTACACATGTCAACTTTTATACAAGCTGTGTTTGTGTGTTTTCACAAATAAATGAATTATGAATTACGTACAGATACGGATAAATAATTATAAAAATAATAATAACGCACACATTCAACATAGCCCCGCACTAGGGAAACCCGAGTGGGTGTCGCGGGTGCCATGGACACCCACATAGACACCCACATAGACAACCACAAATTACATCCAAACTCACGAGAGAAATAAATGTAGGCCATACAAATATTTCTCCCCGCCCGGGAAACGAACCTGGGACCTCTGCGTGGCAGTCTGGCATGGTAACCGTACGGCCACGGAAGCAGTTCATTTATACAATTGCATTGTTACCGTACCGTAGTGTTGCAGTACCAATTAATCTGTCTTACCTGAACAAACATCATATTAAAAATTATACAAAAAACTAATACTGTACGCAACATATTTAAAACTAAATCTAGATATTTATATGGCAAGTGTAAAAATGCATCACATAGATTTTATTTGTTTCGAATAAAAATAAATATAGGTATTTTATATGTTTATGAACTTGGACAGGTACATATAGGATTTTTGTTTTCATTTTCGTTTCGCCAACCAAGCGTACTTTCAACATTACAGCTTTCAGTGTTTTGCGAAAATGGTGATTAAATATTTGTATCCAAGAAATGCACCAATATATTTGGAAATTATCAACGATGGTTTTAGTAAGTTTATTTCGGCTTCTATTTTCTTTATGATTATAAATTAATACATAACTATAGTTGCAAAGGGCAATTAACTAAGTGATCATGAGTTCAAACTCTAAAAGGAAAACTTTACAGGGTCCTAGATTCGTATTCTAGAACTCTACTCAATGCTCAAGTCAGGACTTGAGTATGACTCAAAGCACTAGAAATCATACTCAAGTCCTTGCCATTAGGGTCGTATTTCCATTGCTTGAAATCATACTCAAGTCTGCTCAAATCCTGGCTTGAGCATTGAGTAGAGTTCTGGAATACGACCCCTACTCTCGAAGCACGGAATCCATAGTTACGGACGTTTTCCCACTGTAGATGACGTACATGCTTGAGTTTCGAAGAATGAAGAAAAAAGTCTCAAACGGACCCGTCTTTTCGTTGACGGTCTCCGAGAGTAGTTCCGTAGTTCATTCTTAGGGAAATGGCCGTAATAATGGATGTCGTGCTTCGAGAGTCGAGCCTCTGCTAACGGACAATTTCAACTAGGTCTGAAAACCTGAAGACATAGTGAAAGCCGCGTTAAAAGTCAATGTCCATGATCCATACAGTCCTGGATCAGCTAACAAAGGCGACCTTCAGTCGCTGATATTTTTTAATTACCATGAACAATGTATACAGTAATAATTTATAATATTAAAATCATTAAATTTGAACATAACTTAATTTCCAAAAAGAATATTTTGTTGTAAATAGTTTTCGCCCTCGATTTCGGGCGTTAATGGGTTTTAACTAGAGTTGCAACGAATATTTTGTTACTATTCGGTATTCGACTCTATCAGCCTATTTTTTGCTATTCGGCCGAATATCGAACATTAAATCACTATTCGGCCGAATACCTAAAAACAGTAGGAAGAAATAAGAAAATACAGTAAATTATCACAAATAGTAACTTTTATGAGTTCAAAAAAAAGTAACAAATCAAATTAACAGTACCTACTTATTATGTAACTTTGTCCATGAAATCATGATTAAATAAACGCTAACAAAATCAACCTATGTAGTACTTATTATTTGCAAATGAAAATAAAATTAAGTTTTTGAAAGTTAATCAAACTGAAGTGAAACAAATAATTACTTTCTTCGTTAAGATGTCATCAATTTGAATTATAAACTTCAAAATAAAATTTCCTATTTTATTTCTTTTTACAAAATCATGCATCATTACTGGTTTTATATATGTATGTATGTGTAGCTATCTTTGCTATAAAGCGGTTTGCGCGCCAATTTTCGTAAGATCATTAATCAGGCCGAATAGTTTGGCCGAATATTCGGCTATTCGGCCTGAAGGCGAAATACTATTCGTTGCAACACTAGTTTTAACCCGATTTAAACCCGGCGTTAACAAAGCTTCGGGTTAACACCCGGGTGCTTGCTCATCTCTGGTCACAATTGGTGAACTAAAAATTATTGAAGTGTTTGACGCGCATCATCTTCTTCTTCGATTTCTACAAGGGTCTAATTTAAAGGTGCTCTTATACATTCACTACGATAGACGAACGCGACTTCAAAATTAGCGAGTCCTAAATAGGCATTATCTTTTATATGTGCTATATTATTATACATTTTCAGGTGATCTGTACAAATTACGCCAATCCAAAACATAATACAAATTCAACTAGTGTACAAGATGAAATTCAAAATATTCTTAAGTATGTTTCTAGAACTCAAAACAACATTAATTCTATCAATGTTCCGAACGATAATGAAAAAGCCGTTGATCTTAAAGCGTCTAACAGTGATAAAGATACATCGATTCAAGTAGATAAAGGTAATACAGACGATAACGTAGATAATGAAATAATTAACGGTAGGAAAGCAAAGCCTGTTCCCGTTACCAGAAAATCATCAGCTCAAGTTATACACGAAAAACAGATGAAGGAAATCCACGACCTAATGGTAATTAGTTCTAAAACAACAGACTATTTCTACGACGAAGCCGTAAGGATCGATACTTACCAGACAATTATTGATGGTTTGAGAAAAATGTTGATTTATTTAGACGATCCCAAAAACAGTGCAGTCAAAAAGATGGTGTTTGATTGCTTCTTAAAGATAAGGGCAACTATCGTTCCAAAACTCGACCCGTTCTCGACACATGTAGTTAACGACTTAATAATTGCTGATGTCAATAATAGATTTTAAGGTATTATTTAAACAAACTACTGCATAAGAGTCTATACTGCCTCCGTGGTCGAACGGTTACCATACCGGACTGCCACGCAGAGGTCCCAGGTTCGATTCCCGGGCCGGGAGAAATATTTGTACGGCCTGCATTTATTTCTCTCGTGAGTTTGGATGTAATTTGTGGTTGTCTATGTGTGTGTCCATGGCACCCGCGACACAGGGTTTCCTTAGTGCGTGGTTATGTTGAGTGTGTGTGTGTGTACTAATACGGGTTCATTTTGCTTGGGTCAAATATATTATTTTACATATGAAATTAAAGCCATTTGAAAAATGTATAACTACTGTATTTTTTTTTTTTTTTTATAAATAACGCACACACTCAACATAGCCCCACACTAGGGAAACCCTGTGTCGCAGGTGCCATGGACACACACATAGACAACCACAAATTACACCCAAACTCACGAGAGAAATAATTGTAGGCCATACAACTATTTCTCTCGGCCCGGGAATCGAACCTGGGACCTCTGCGTGGCAGTCCGGCACGGTAACCGTTCGGCCACGGAGGTAGTTAAAAATTTAGTTCAGTTGATTAAAAAAAAATACAGTGGTTTCAAAGTAAGTTTGTGTTTTTTTTTCTATCGTGAAAATTCTTAGGAATCGTGTTTTCACATCGTATAGTAATAAGTGTAAGTATATCCTCAATTTTACTGTATATTTATTCCAAAGTGATTCATTCAAAACTTTCACTGTTATGCGGGATCAACCAAAGCCATTGAAGGTAGTAAAGACTCTTAAAAAATATTTACGAGAACGAGTAATGATTATTGTCATTGTTATAGCCGATGACTTCGTCTACGTAGAATTACTACTTTGAGTAGCCTCCATACAAACTTTCATCCCCTATTTCACACACTTCAATATTTATTTTTGTGACAAAATGTAGCATATTATTATGTCCTCCTTCCAGGTCCCACTTATCTCTATACCAAAAATCTCCTCTCCGTTTCCATAAAATATTTGTTTATTAACAACTCGAAGACTACTTTGTCTATTCTAATGTCATTTAGACATATTGATAGGTAAGCTTAAAGTTGTTCACATTTCAATGTTACTGGATGTTATTAAGCGAGAAAAAATAATCGCTACGGTAATTAGGCTGAGAACACCGAATGTGAGAATGACCGTACTGCTACCTTACCCATTTCAGCCACCAAGCAGTAATGTAAGCATTACTGTGTTCCCGTTTTGAGCTGTAAAGATGCTGATGAAATTGCAGGCACATAGAAATTGACAACTTATGTTTCTAAATGACGGACGCAGTTAACGTCCCCTCAGATCTTTACGATTTAAAACTCTGAGTGGCACTAGAAATAATGTGGACAGGCGTGTCTAATCACCAGGCACACGACTTGTTCGTCCCCTCACTTGGTATAAAAAAAACTAACAGCTGTGGTTTTTGATAAACATATATTTTACGTTCTTGTTACTGTTTATATTAAAATAAAGTATTTTATACATTATGACTAATTTTCTTTAATAATAAAAATAAAATAAAAAGCTATTTTATAATGGTCTCCTAATTTGACATACCAAAAAATGTTACTATCCACTCAGTCTCTATTTATTTAAAAGGTGCAGTCAAGGTTATTTAAGATTTAAAGTCAACTTCATGCCAGTTACGGTCAAAACGAACCAAAGTCTTTGCAGTTTGATGTGCTACTGATTATATGGAAAATACAGTCAATTTTATCTAGATTGTAACACAAAATGAACACTAGCCATCAGTCATTGTTTTGTGGATAACAGACAAAGAAATTGAAAGAGTCACAAATTCGTGGAGGAAATTCTGGTCAAGTCAAGAAGTCCTAAAAACGACAATACTGCAGGACCATAAGCTTTACTTTCGTTTCTTGTAACAAAAAAAATATTTCGATAAACAGAAAATTGATAATTTATTAAACTAAAACTTTCCGGTGATATGAAATACCACAACGAGTAATATTTTTGGTGCGGCAATAATTTTTGCACTCCAAAAAGCACAATAAGCCATTTTTCTAGGATTTTAGAGAATTTGCACGAAAGAATGACACAACCATACCATACAAAGCGAAAATGGCGGACTGCGCTGAAATAGGTCTTTCGAGACTTATAGTTGGCACACCACATCTACTGTATTTATTATTCTGTGGTTTCTGTGTTAAATAAGTGAGTATATAAGTTATCAGCAATAAAGGTTTTAAATAAATAAATAAAACATCTGTAATTTTTACGTGCCCAAAACGATGTAGGGTGACGTATATTGTTTGTCTCAAAACAAAACTAAAAAATATCGGGCTAATGTTTTTATTTACCTATCCTGCCCTACTTGTCAGGCAATGCAATTACACCAAACGTGTTGTGTGAAAGGTATCTTCAGCACGCTTCAATGTCAAGCATGCTTTATATAAAAAGTACCTAAATATTAACGATATGCTTATACGTGCTTACAATTGCGGCAATCTTTACAGTGGTTCGACTTTAAGCAGCGATGCACACGCGCTATTGCATCGCTACACTTGCGATTTGTATCGATGCTAACGCGCGACAGTATCGATGCAGTTGTGCACTTGCATCGCGTTTGCACCGCTGCTTAAAATCGTGCGCGTGTTTAAAGGTAGACGTTTAGCGACTACATCGCGTTTGCATCGCTGCTAAAGTCGCCGTGTGTAACCGCTCTTAATCAAGTTTTTTTTACAGCTACGATCTAGAGTACATAAAAAATATATTGTGATTTAAAATATGTCTGCGGTGCAAAATATCGTAATAAAATATAACCTTACCTATCCAATGTAATGGTTCAACCCCAGTCAACGATTTCAACGTTTTTAAAATCTTCAATTGTGTATTTTCTTAAACTCGGTGGCTTTTCATTGTAAATGTCAAAAGCATTATTGTAAGTCCATGGAAAAACATGAGTTACACCGTTATTATCATATAATACAGTGTTCTGTTCATTTTGTGGTGTGTTCGATTTGTTTTCTTGAAGTTTGTGGTATAAATCTTCGAAAGACGGTTGGTTGAATGACTCGGGTTGATGTTTTAATGCCACTGGAAATATACAAAACAAGAGAAAGTTAATACTTTCACGCCAAAATAATTTCTTTTGCAACTGTAACCAGATGATCAAACTATTAATTAATTATGATTACTAATTATACTAAAAATATATTAATATTAATTATATTTGTGTGATATTTATTTAGTATTTGTGTGTGTATTTAATGTTATTGTTTATATATTTACTTTATTGATGAGTAGTGCATTTATTTATAACTACTTTCTTTTGTTTACACACAAAACAAAGTAAAAGATATAGGCCATACAATGGTGAAAGAGCAGACATACCAAAATAGAAAGGGCAGACATACCAAAATAAAATTCATTTATAAATGTACATAACGCATAACGCATAATAATTGTACAAAAATGAAATTTAGAATTATTACAAGTAAGGTAACTGTATCAAGAGCATGTCTAGCTTGACATTTAAAATTCAGCTCTTTTCCACTCATGATAAGATCTCTCCTAAGTGTCAAACTTGATTTGTTCTTAAACCCTAAACCTTAACTTGTAGGCATGCCCATTTGAAATTCCTTATTGTAAGCATCCACAGTTAAAATATATACTCACCATATTCTCTAAATTGGTTAATCTGCTCCATAGTGTAATGAGAGTTGCGACATATACTGCCAAAGCTACAGGTTCCCTGTAAGAATCGGTTGCATGGTCTCTTTGTACTTTCCTCTGCTAGAATTGTTTCAGGATCTGAAATTAGATGTTTACAATGAAAATATGAATAAATTCTAACTTTCATACTACAAAGTGTTACATAGCAGAATGAAAGCAAATTTTTTAAATTAAATTGTACCTAGCATAACGAACTTTATGTCAAATGTGTAACATTCAATTTAAATACAATATAGTATCCCCTGTGTTTGTCAACAAAATCCAAAATCCAAATCCAACAAAATCCTACATCTGGTCTCCCGATGATGGAAAGGGGAAGGTGGAATTAATTTGTGTAATTTCCTTGCGCACTCTCCGTGATATATCCTGTAGATACTGATAAGCAGGCAACTTTACGGCGGTGTTCAAAGGCTCTACAGCTTCGCCTCTCCTAATTCTGGGTCACCCATAAGCCTCTTGACATGCTTGTTGATTGAATCCAAGGAGGCCAGTTGGTACGTAGCAGAGCCATCCCGTGGGTAGCAGCAGTACTCGTTACATGTCACCGGACTTGTGCTTGTTGCTACATAAATGATAACTTTTTGATCAATATTAACTGACAACATTCATCAAAACTGACTGACCCAAGACTAGTGGTCACCAGTGAGGATATAATAATACAATATAGTAGCTGTGGGAATTCTCGAGACAGAATTCTCCAGAAGATGACTGTCCTGTTTTTTGGCTCATATCTAGTTTGCATGTAATACAATAGATGCAAAGTTCATCATGCTAATGTCTCACCACCTGCTAAGTCAAAATTGCCCACTACAGTGTGTACAAAACTAATTTATAGGCAAACATTTGCCCCAGCACAAGGAATTGAACATAATCAAATAGATTCTTAAATCTATAACTCTTGACACTCGTTGTAATTAGTGGTAATCAGAATATTAATAATAATAAATAATATATATTATAACCTTTATATTGTTGATAGTATTCATTTACAAGTTTTTGATGAAACAATCCTTTATTGTGTGTTTTAATTATCGAAGGCGAAGTAACCATATGTTTATCGCAATAATCGCAGCGGTATCTTTTACCCATTGTAGGATATTACACAGAAGCGATTGTATTTTCTATATTGGGCCTCTTAGCCTGGTGAAAGTTATTTAAAGTTTATGATAGATAATCACACAATTCAATTCAATTCAATTTAGGTTTTATGATGAGTCCAATGTTGTCAACAATATATAAAAATAACAAAAATTAAAACAACACTGACCAATCAATACACATCGTACATACAATAACTAATATATAACTGGAATTGGAACTGCGACACAGAGTACAACCGCGACCTATCTGTGACAGTGACATTACACCATTCATTTTTTTTATTAATAATTTTGGCTTGGATACAAGTCCTATGAGTCATGTCTTCGTTTAATAATGTTTCTGTAAATATGGCTGCCATAAAGAGGATAGGTAATTTGAGGCGGCGCGCATGCTTGGATTGGCTCGGGATTCCTTAGAACGGGCCGATACGAGTATTTTAATTTGAGATTCGTATAATTTCGCGTTTTAATCTTCGATTAAGGCACGATAGCACTATCCTATTCCACTTTAAACTAGATTTCACTAAATAATTGAAAGTCAAAATAAAAACGACACTTTTCCCTCCAAAAGGCCCAGAGCGAATCTCACACCATTCATTAATTTTAAATGCCATTTGTGGAGAACGAAAGTATGTATTTTGCAATTTACATAAAAATAATAACTCATGAGTGTACTACTGGTAATTTTCGTACAAACTCTCTCAAGCTTATTTTATTGATTTTGTAGGACAAACTCGAAATGTTATAGATATATTATATCATTATTAATTACAAAGACGGAACATGTTTTTAACAAATGCGATTAATTCTTAACAACCTTTAAAAACACAATTGTTTATTATTGCCAGTTTAAAATAAATACAATTGTGGTATAATCACTTCGCAATGGAATAGGTATAGGTAAATGTGGTAACTACGTACCTACTAATAAAGTATAGTGCATACATACTTTCACTCTTTGCGAAGTATCAATTTCTAAATTAAACCTAAAACCCTAAAACGTAATAGGTAAAAATACTTTTTTAGTATCTGGCTAACGTGACGTCGAAGTCCTGTATAGATATTTAACAAGTAATCTTCCAACCTATACAATAAACACATTAAGATCAATCATCATCACAAATAAGAACTTTTTGTATTAAAATTTATTAAGTGCAATATCAAAAGTATCTGTTTTACAATAATTTATTTAATATAAAAATTAAACGATTCATGGCTTTTGATAGTTTTTTCTAGACCATCTGGCGTTATAAAATAGCTAATATATTCTGTACTATGAAAACGCTCATTAAAATAAAAATAAAAATTATTTCGAAAGCTAAAACTTTCACTTGACATTAGAGTATCAAAAGCATTTACATAATCAGCCTCTAATTGCGCAAAAGTAATACTCAATAATTCGTACATTGACAAATTTTAATGAAGTATCTTTAAACTTAATCCACATGACACTCAGGGTCGTATTCTAAAACTCTACTCAATGCTCAAGTCAGGACTTGAGTATGATTCAAAGCATTAGAAATCATACTCAAGTCCTTGCCATTAGGGTAGTATTTCCAGTGCTTGAAATCATACTCAAGTCTGCTCAAATCCTGACTTGAGCATTGAGTACCTGGAATACGACCCTCACACTCGCTCGAAACGATTTACCACATGAAATATACAAATAGTGAACAAGCTCACAACTTCTCTGGGGAACCACGATCATTGATAAAACAATAATTAGTTTCGAATAGCGGAGGCCAGACGTCGAAAAAATGTATACGTAAACTTATTTTGGCTTTTTTGTGTCTGTCATGAAAAATGTTTTGAATAGTAGATTTTTCACGTCGAATATGGCAACTGAAAAAAGAAAATTTATTTGACGTTACATTACGAGAAATTTAGTCAGCTGAACAATGCGTTTTAATTTATTAATTGCCCAGAAATACGTTTAAACTGTTAAAAAAAATCAAAGCCTGGTATCCATATACCATAATGTACGAATATGTGCTGTGAAAAATTGAAACAAGCAAAGTTGTAGATAAAATTCCTTTGTGTTTTTGTTACTTTGTCGATGAAAATTCCATGATGATGTTTGGAAGACCAAGATGCAGAGAGTGGACGCCTCTAGCCACTCAACAGCTGCGTCTTAGAAGCCTAATACAGGTAAATGATTGTTCTAAATGCTGTCGTAAAGATGAAGGAAGTAGATTGATATTTTAAATGAGATGACTCAATGGGGTGGGTTTACTAACAAACGCCTACTCAGCACGCGTTATCAACGTGATATTGTTGATATTCTCGTACTTTGTCGAACTCTGTGGAACTCTGTGGCCTAGTGGTTAACATTATGATAATAGTTAATAAATAAATAACTGGATCGAACCTGAGACCTCAGATGATAACACCATGAAAACCTGTGTGGAAGCCACTCTATCACGGAGGTCGTCAACTTCGTCGTCGTCACTGTGGGTGGTAGATGATGAGGTCGGGGAAGTTTTACCAATAAGACCTTTTTACAAATCAAATTATTCTAAATCGGATCTGGGTGTCCTGGAGTGAGAATCGTGGCTTTGGTATTCACAGTATAGGTGATTTTTTAATTTGAAACCAAGAAGCAAATGTTGCGACAGTGTTTAAAAAAAAATTTAATAGTTCTATTAAAATTTTATGTTTGCCACATTTTGAAATAAATATATTAATGTGATAATAAGTTATTACCTGTAAAGAAATATACAATGTGCTCACATATATTGAAGGCTTTAACACAAGGACTATAAATAATAATTAATTACTTATTTATTTGTGACAACACAAGTTGTATACCTCTCCTTGTCATAACTAACATAATAATTTTTAGATAAATAGAGCTATTAACATGTTTTGAATTCGAGATCTACAAATCTCTGTAAGCAGTTTTTTATATCTTGTTTAATTTCAGTTTTATTGTTAAAAAACGTCTGTGCAATTGACATTATTTAATAAAAAACCTTTATATGGCAATATCTCAAAAGTTACCAAAATGCAAATGCGTTACTTATGAAAAGTAAGGTAGTATAGAAGTTGACATTTAACAAAGAACTATAATCTCACTATGTCTGAGCAAACCCTGGCCATACAAACTTATTGTAATTATATTGTACATTTGATCTCTTGTAACATATTGTTTTTTTTAATCACATCACATGGGCATGCACTCACTGATCTAATAAATGAATAATTTAAATGTAGTGATAGTTATTTGGGTCATGTACTATACAATTTTTTGGGTCATGTAATTACAATTGAGGAGCGTTAGAACAAAAAGCACATTCACATTTTTACTTGGCCTTCTTTCTTAATGTTTTTTTTAAATTTTTTTTATAATAACGCACACACTCCACATAGCCCCGCACTAGGGAAACCCTGTGTCGCGGGTGCCATGGACACACATAGACAACCACAAAATACACCCAAACTCACGAGAGAAATAAATGTACGCCATACAAATATTTCTCCCGGCCCGGGAATCGAACCTGGGACCTCTGCGTGGCAGTGGCATGCATGGCGGCATGGTAACCGTTCGGCCACAGAGGCAGTTAAAAAAGTCAAATGGTAGTTTTTGCACATTTCCATGAATGATGTATCCAACCTGAACAGCCACCGCTAACTCTTTAAAAATATGTTTCAAATGCACGGATCTGACCACAAAACCCATTCAATGATTGGGAAAAATCTTTTTTGTATATATTTTATAGTCTTTTGGCGCCTTTTCTTGACTTTTTGTTTGCTGTTTTTCTATGAAAGCTATTTGTCTAATGAATTAATAAACAGTAAGTACATTTGGTTTGGCCTTGCTCACTTGTTGTTAGCACCCACCCTTTAACCCTTTGATACAGTCCTCTACAAATAGACTAGACAAAATTAGGATTGAAATTTAACAGATTTATCAGTTTCATTCTGAAGCTCCTTAATTATGTTTTACTAAATAGACACATGCTTGGCTACTGGAAACGTAGTCTCACATTGCACGGTGATTCACGCTCCATACTAAGGCGGTCATAAATACGTAACTCCGAAATTATTATTATTTTTTTATTTTATTACGTTAAAATATGATTAGGTAAACGTAAATTAATAAAATTATACATTTTAAAAAATATTTGACAATATTTAGGTGTAAAAATGTCTCGCAGTAATTTTGTTTTTAGACGATGTATCTAAAACATTTTATACTGCGACTTTTAATGGTAAAACTGTGTAAATAATGATTATTTGTATTAACAATAACCACAAATGAATAAATTAAAACAATAAAAATACATAAAAAAGTTCATTTTACAAAATACAAACAAAACACAAATTATACCAAAATACATTAAATCTCAACAATATTAACTTTAAATACATAACAAGTCTAATACAGCTTTTGACAGTACACCTTTTTTTTTAACAGGTAACTTTCGTAGACCTGTTATGAAGGGATCTGAATGAAGAAGCAGCCTATTTACTAAATCTGTGTTGGTCACAATGCGACTCATTTTACGCGTATGATTTTTTCTAAAAGACTTGATGTATTTGTTAGTCGCTTCAGCTGCTTCTTCAGACAACTCTCCGATTGACAACAAACCGTAATCTATAACATTAGCACCATGAATTAGAACTTTGTGAACGGAAGCAGGCATGTTATACCACGGATAATCGGCAACTAACTGCCGAGCCGTCTCTAAAGCGAACTCTTCGAAGTTCGTCTTATTAATATTATATCCCGAATTTAAACATTGAAGGACGATCCAGCAACGATCTAGGAGATCCTTCTTGATCCCAGTAATTTCAGCGGAAATTTCTGAATTCGAGAAAAACCGCCTGGCTGTATTACCATCGTTTGATGTTCCGCTTCCGCCACTTTTAGGCTTATCCACTATAAGCCCTAATCTTTCTCTAAATTGAGTCTGAACATATGATTTTTTTGCAGCAACAAGCATTTTGTCATTAGCGGACCTAGCTTGCCATTTCCTAACATCTAACTTGTACGCGACATGAACAAAATATTCAAAAAAACGTATTAACGCGTGAAGAGGTGATAAACCAAATTCATATTTACTCTCATCGACTTCCTTATTTAAACATTCGTCAATTTTGTTCATTTCACTGGGCAAGGCGTTACAAATAAAACATTTTGATGAAGAAACACCACTAAGTGCATTACACACTTTACCATCTACCATAGTAAGTTGCAAACAATGAGTAATGCGATATTCGCGATCTTCTTCCTTGAAAACAGTAGGCTGCAAGTTCCTTATTTTATCTTTAAAATGAGCTTCTTCCTCAACTGACACTGCAGTCGATTCCTTCAAATATCGGAGGCGTATAGGACGACAGTATCGAGTTGATGAAGGACGAGGATTTTTCCACAAAACTACTGAATTTTCTTTGTTATCTGTTGTCAAAACAAGCTGAAGTGGCACATACGAAGTAACAAACAGGCTACTGTCTTCAAGAGTGGAGTCAGAAAAACACTGTTTATATTCTGAATGCCCTGTACTGCCATCGAAACCCCATTTCCCTATCAAAGATATCTTATCTAGAGACTCATTAGGTACACTATCCAAAACATCTTTTTGAGACTTGAGAATCCGATTGGCAGTATGATCTAATAAACTTTGAAGTTCGACTTCGGCGGATGATTCTGTAACAGTAATATCTGAAGGATAACAGTGTTTTTTAGATTCCACGACACTTTGGTAAGATGGGAAAATGGTTTTTGAAAACTTATTGTCTATAAATTTCTTTACTAATATATATTGATGTCGAGTTAACTGAGCTTCAACAATGAGCGATAAAACTTCGCTAGAATCGATTTCAGGACAAGACAAGCTATCGGACGCATTGAGCAATGACTGTACAAGAGAAGGGTCTTGGTTAGACAAACTAGCCAATCTTCTCCTTTTTGTACGTTTACTGGTGTCGTCAAAGTTAATTCTCGGACGGCCATGCGATGAAGAAGTTGATGGTTTAACTTCGTCAAAGCTCTGAGATACACGTAACTCAGTTCGCTGTACATCAATATTTTCAACGACATGCAGCCAATCTGAATATTTTTCTAAGAATTTAGATCTAGTACGATTCGACTTTGCCCAGTAGTGGGAAATTCGTTTACAAATATTCTTAATTTTAAGGCTTAAAGTCTCTAAATCAATATTTTCGATGTCGTCAGAAAGGGATGATGTTTCGGTCAAAGTGATGATGTTTCGGTCAAAGTGCTCAGGACGTGTTGCATTTTTTCATTTGGATTACCCACTTTAGAGTGCCAAATATCAAAAATTGTCATCCTCGATACAGAACATTTGAAAAATGTACCTAAAACAATATGAAAGCTGAACTTAAAAAAAAATTAAAAATTCAATACTATGGACATGCATACTTTGACACCCCTTTAAGCCAAGAAGAGGCAGCAAGATGCAAATGAAACTTATAGCTCTTAATAAGGACATACTCCTTATTCAAAAACCATATACCTCAGGTGCAGCTCAGCGCAGCCAAAAGTTGTAGGTCTAAAGGAAATTAAGTTATGCCAAAAATTTTCACCAAAAAACTGCCTTCAATAAAAAAATTATATAAAAAAAAATATGCATAAAAAAAATTAAAAAAAATTGATAATAAAAGTACATACCATGCTCTTGGATCTCCATGCTTTCACAACACGTAAACACTTGATTTGGAATAGTGACACTCAAAAACAAAGTGATTAAGTTTCGATGACTCACACGTGGTGATAATTAGTCTCGCGATGCGCTCACTTCCGATGCACAAAAGTGAATGATAACGTGACCTAATTACATTGATATTTATAGTTTTTGGAAGCTTGTTAACTAGTTACTAACTTAGTGAGTTGATCTAACCGGGATAAGCCAATGATTTTTTTTTATTTATGGCCTATGGGGGAATCACAGTGCATTGTTTAATTGTCTAGTCGCTAAGGTCCGGGGTGCTGACTCTTTTGCGACAGTTCTTAAGCCTTTAATTTGCAAGGCAAATTTAGTATATCAAATATGTATGTTATAAGAAATTAGCATGGTAGCATTTTTATTGTAACTGTTTTGAAAGTTATATTGTGTTTTTATAAATATATAAAAGGACGATGTGACAGACAATGATACACATTTGTAAAAAAAAAAAACTTGTTAACACTTGTTGGCACACAAGATTGACTTTATCTAAATAAGTAATGACGATTGACGCACTTCAATGTAAAAATTAGTTTAACTGTTTTTAATGAAATATTCACTTATTGTTTTAGATTAATTATTAGTGTAACCTAATTTTTTTAGTATGTAGAAATTTTGTATCTGGTTAGAGATGAAATCACCAGTATTGAGTCAAACCAGTTAAGGTTTACAGGTACTGTATGTGTTTGTACGATTTAAACGAGCTAATAGCCCAAGCCATTTGTCGAGGTCTTATAATGTTGGCGGCTCTGTTCCAGTCCTCGTTGCGAGGTTATGTACAGTAATTACTGGGTTAGTAAGCGAGTCGCAAAATGCCCCCGGAAAGTGGGTTGACATTAGAAGCTCAAGGGTTTCTGTCTTAGAAGTCGAGTAGGTCCCATCAGGCTTTTTTAATAGTCCTGGTTGATGGGAGTTGGCTTTGGCAAGCACTCTGTGTAGACGTGCACCTTGAGGAGCACTAGTGATCTCCTCACAAAACCGCCTCCACGATGCTCGCTTGGCCTTCCTTATCTCCTTATAATAATTGGTTAGGGCCTTCCTGTAAGTCTCCCATTCCTTTGTCAGCTTGGCCCTATTGAAGTCTTCGGGTTTTCTCAAGCTTCTTTTCTCCAGGTAGATTGGCTGAGCATAAGATTATCTTAGCCCAACGGCTATTCCGGGGAAATAAATATGCTGCTACAAAGTCGTCAGTACAGAACTCTGGAACAGGCATAAGGTTAATGTTTTTGTTCTAAACAATGCAGGCTCTGGGTCTACTTCCACAAGTGTTGTAGATCAACTTACCAGCGGCATTGAGTCCCATTACGTTTGTGTGGTTAACCCAGGGTTGCTGAATGATTGCGACATCCACATTGCCTTTCGCGAAGCAACACTGGCGTAATTTCTATGAATAATTATTCTATTTGTTAACCAACTTCAAAAAAGGAGGAGGTTCTCAATTCGTCTGTATGTTTTTTTTGTATTGTATATATTACGGGATTGTTTTATTATATAGATATATAGATAGATTTTATTGTTGCGCGATAACTCCGGTATTTGTGAACCGATTTTCATGATTATTTTTTTGTTCGAAAGGGGGTACTTCCATATTGGTCCCATTTTATTTTGAAGAAAATCATCCACCTCGAAGGGTGGCTGTTCACGCATGAAGATTCATTTTTATAAATAGCGCCTAAGTTTAATTTAGGCGCAATTACTTTAATGGTTGATTTTGCTATTTCTCCAATTCAAGGCGTTTTTCTCTCAATATATTTTGAGTAGTGAGAACCGATTGTTATTATTTCCACAAAAGTATGTTTGAAAGTCATTGGGTGATAAGTGATTTCAGGTTCAGCTGTGTAATATTGGAAGTATTTTCAAAACATATAATTGACATTTCTGCTATAATGGTTGGATTATATATAGTTAATAACATGAAATGTTTTTTTTACTATTTAAACACAACTTACTTGACTGAAGTTCTTGATCATAGTTATAATGTTTTTCCCAACTCGTCACATATATACATTTGAAGTTTATTTATGTACAGATAAAGTGAGTATGCTATGGTTATGCAAGTGGAGAATTGTGGTCTCTGCCAACCCTATCTGGAAATGCTACAAAACAATAGTTCTCGAAAAAGCTAAATGCTATTGTTCAAATCACTACAGGCAAAGACTAGTTACTTATCCTAACGCATTGCCTCACATAGGAGACTAAAAAGAGCCTGCTGGAGCAGCATATACCTTCGAGCTTTGCGATAATAATCTGGTTAACTGATTGCAATTGATCGACTGTAACTTTCTTTTCAGATTGTAGGCTACAACATACGCCCACCAGAAGGCTGTATGTCTCAGTGCAGTTACTACTTGACCCTGCACCATACCACCATGTCTGCTCCGTTTTATACCAGTGAACGGATTAGTTCACCTCACCCTAAGTGGAAGGAGATTGATTCAGGTATGATTCAAGTTCATATAGCCCAAGATGCATATTAGCAAAAGTCACTAAATTCACTTCTTTTTTTTAACTTTTATGGCTCCACCATTACATAAAGTAATTATTTTGTGTCACGGTTGAAAAAAAAGGACACTGATTTCTATTCCGACTTAAAATTTTGCTTTAACTTTTTTTGTGAAATAACATAGTGTTGTCTCTTTGGCGACACTGTGTTATTTCACAAAAAAAAAACTTGGCAACACCATTAACACAAGTTTCGTACCTATAGCTATTTAAAAATCCGACAGCAGTTTGGCAATGTTCATCATTAAAAAAAATACATTAATGACACAATATGGTAATACAGTGTAACTTAAAACCCAATCTGAGATCCAGACTAGATTGTCAAACATTTCCAAAATAATCTCGTATTTCAGAACTCCGAGCACGGTAACTTGGATTATGCCATGCCGTAGTTTCCACTAGAAAGGTCAATAATATCACAAAAATGTCCAGAAAAATACACGCGCGGCGCAACCGAATATAACCTCAAAAACAAAAGACGGTCTTGTACCAATATGTGCGTTCTAGTAAATGGAAAAACGGGATTATTGTATATAATTTTGAACAAAAACGATTATCCCGCTATCTCCGTATGTAATCAAACTTGGTACAGAAACAATAAAATCAACGTGTAAGGTTGACTGGGTATAAGCTCGCGAATTACTAGGTACCTACTGCCGCATGCCGCCGCCCACACGCGCAACAAGGCGGTGTAGCCCCTGTTCGTTAAGCAGGAAATTCTGTTCAAACTAAGAACCGGCTACAGGATATTGATTTTTTTATTATTACTGGTATTTATAGAACCGAAAACAGAGATTTTTACATTTACACTTCGGTGTAGGTATATATACAGGGTGGAAATTTGTAATGCCACCTGGAGGGAAAGTACTCTAAATACTAGAGATAGAAATTTTTACTTAAAGGAAACATTCCTTTATTTTTTAAAAGACAAAACTGCATTCATAGATTTTCGAAAATTTCTAGCAGCACGCGGGAATCGAAGCTGCTTTAATCTGAAAAAAAATGCACCCTGCACTTTTATTGCGTCAATCGATAGGGTTAATTATAAGAATAAAATCTCTCTCACAAAATTTATTGATTATTATCTTTTTTTGTGGGGATATGTTAAAAATCAAATTTAACCTAAATCCCATTCGAGTGTAAACGAGTTGAAGGCCGAGGTTCAGAATACGATTTGTAATACAATTTATCACAACACGTTATTAAAAGTTACTCAAAGTGAATTCGTTAAAAGATTAAATTTGTGTATCCTAGAAAATGAGCTCATTTCGAGCAACTAATTAGTTAGATTACCATTTTTTCGTTTTATTAAAATATGTTAAGATTTCACGGTTTCTTTTTTCATTTAATTAACCAATTTTGTGAGAGAGATTCAATAAAAGACATCGATCGATGCAATAAAAGTGCAAGGTGCATTTTTTTCAGATTAAAGCGGGTTGGATTCCCGCGTGTTGCTAGAAATTTTCGAAAACCTATGAATGCAATTTTATTTCTTTAAAAAAATAAAGGAATGTTTCCTTTAAGTAAAAATTTCTATCTCCAGTATTTAGAGTACTTTCCCTCCAGGTGGCATTACAAATTTCCACCCTGTATATAGGAAAGTGGATTTTTGTGATGTCAATTCTCGTGCGAAATATATCAATTTAATGTATGTGTATAGGTAAATCAATCAGGTCTGTTAGAACATAACGCGTGTGTGCATTATTCTATTTGTCACTTGTAATCATTTAAAATATTGATTATTATCTGGTATTTACGTTTTGAAAATTAATGATGAGACATAAACCGATTAAATAAAAAAAAATCTAAAAAGATTTTGTTATTTTGTGTTATTGACTACTGTTGGTAATTTTCCAAAAAAATTCAAATAGTGGAAATTTTTCAGTGAAATAGTTTTTGGGAAGCATTTAAAAAATTGGAAAAATATAATTTCAAAGTCTTATATTAATATGTTCTACGATTAGAAGTATCCTTTGAAGTTTTATTTAGCGTGAATTATACGAGCAAACTTGAATATCTAAAATCTACTTTGAGACAAACGAGATTTAAAATATTTTCTCAAGAGCGAAAAAAACACTTTTTTAATAGCTCCAGCGTTTTCGTTGAGTAACATCAGTAGTAGTAGTAAAGTTTTTCGTCCTTCGGGACAGGCTAAGGCGTCTAGCCATACTGCCAAATCTTAGATTTAAATTTTTCTTCAACGTATTATTTTATTAACGTGAAGCCAAATCTTCAGTATGAAATTTAAATTTCAAGGCAAATTGCCAAATCATTAGTTAACTTTTTGTGTTTGTTGTAGTTGTAGACTCATTGTCATTTTTGATTTGCAAGGTAAGTCAGTAACTTCAACTTTTGACAAGTGTCAATGTCAAATGTAGAAAAATAAAGGAAAAATATTGTACAAATATCCGGAAAAATATTTCATTTTCTGAAAAATATGATTTTTCAAAATGGAAATTTTTCCAAGACCCAACACCAGCCGTGCCCGTCATATCTTTGTTATTTGAAACTCGAAGTAGCACTGCAGCTTTCTGTCACCAGTCTGTGATCAGTCAGAACAAAAAACAATGTGCTTCTATAACCATTCATGAGCATTTTGTGTGCTCTCAAAAGACGCCAGGCGCTAGATCAATTTAACGAAAAGACTGAATCGCGTTGTTAAGGTTTTGATTATTGTAGACAACGCAGCCATTAGTAGACAGGTCTGCGGTCGCGTCTTTGTGTAATATTAATATACAAATTTGTGGAAAACGACTGCATGGATCTGATTATTGATTTCATACTTTTACTATTATTCAATTTTACCTCCGAAAGAGCTCCGAGAGCTGCAGTAATTTACAACTGTTCTCTTAATGGGACTTTACCAGGAATCTTGAAATATACCGAATAAAGCAATTGGAATTTGGACTTTCCTGGTTTCGGTGATGTAATTGGAACGCTCGAGTGCACCTTGCAATACTTATTTATATTATTTTATTTGTCCAACGACCTTTCATCATAACAAATGTAGATTTTGAAAACAACGCTGAATAACAATTTTTCGACTATGTAACCCGGCCCGTATGTAAACGTTGAGGTGCTGAATATTAATTTGGTTGGGTAGATAACCTAGTCTACTTAATTAGTTGTGTGTTTAGAGCTAAATGTACATAGTAAATGTAAAGGTGGCAGTGCTACTTGGTGTTATTAGCAGTGGCATATAACAACATCCGTTGGGTAGCCCGAAAATTTATTCTGCAGTTTAGAACTACGTTTTAAACGAAATTCGTCATGCATTGTAGCAATTGCTGCATATCGCCTAAATCGGCTTAAGGTATTTAGATATCCGCCATACCCACCCACAGTTTTTATAGCAGTAGAGTTCCTTGTGAAAGAGTTCGTCCAGGGAAGTAGAAGTGATGGTAAACGACACGCCTGGCCATAACAGTTGCAGTGCCACTCAGAGCTTTAAATCGCAAAGATTTATGGTGCACTGCCTCTGCGCCCATCATCCCGCACACTTACCCTTCAAAACCGGAACGCAGTAATGCTCACATTACTGCTTGACGGCAGAAGTAGGTAAGGTGGCAGTACTTCCCTGGATTAGCTCTTTCCAAGAAACTCTACTGCTACTCTGAGCTGATTACAGCGCTTCGGTGTTGAAGGGTTACTAGTGAAATTCCAGTCACATGAAACTTGTCAACTTATGTTTCAAGGTGATAGGCGCATTGACAGTGCCCCTCAGATCTTTGTGATTTAAAGCTTTGATTGACACTGCAACTGTTACGGATCGACTTGTTCATCTCGTCCTTTGATATCATAAAAAAACCTTTATTGTAATTAGACACAAGGGCGCAATTACTTCTGTATGGAATACGATCGTTCTCTCAAATAACTTATCCAATCCGCTTTAGTCCGCTTTATTATAATAATGTGTTTATAATAGTCAGAGTAACGACAGGATAAAGGTTATCATCCATTTAATGCTACGGCACTAGACCCACAACGCTTCGCCTCAAAATAGAGTATTGAAAAACGGACTTAAAATTGTGTGTCATACCGTATATTTTAAAAACGGCGTGACACCCCCACGTCATCCTCCTGCCGTCGACTGTTATCATTTAAATCTAAAACGCTGATGCTTTGGCGTGCACGGAAGTCAGAACAAGTTTAATAACTTGTGAAAACCTTTATTTAATTCCAGAAATCACCCAAAGGATGTCATCAACAAACATAGTAATAAGAATATGGTGTCATATTCTCCATTCTTCAGAAGAAAATTGCGAAAAATCCCAAGATACAATCATTCAAACTTGGGGAGTATATTTCAGTGGTCTTCGCTACATCGGGGCTAATTTAGCCTTAAATTTTACCTCAGATTGTTTCAAAAGCAATACCCTAGTATTCCAAATGCTTGGAGGCTATTTCTGTTCCTATAAAAGTCTCAAACTAGACATAATTCCTACAGAAAATGAAATTGAACACAGTTCTCTATCATCTGATTCTTCAGGAAAAACTATATCGAAAAACACTTTAGAGTCGAAATTCATTCAGCATCAAAAAGTGAAAGAGTCGAGGTCGATATCGCCTAATAAAATTAATAGGAAATCTGATAAAGAGTATTCAAAAAGTCATAGTCCTGTTGAAAGGGTATTTAAGCAGAATTTTCCGACTTTAAAAACATCTACGAGTCTGAACATTGCCCATAGACAACGGGATAAACGGGAAGAAAGTTTGGAAAGAAAAAGGGATCCAAATTATATATATGAACATTCACCGGAAACATTAGACGTTATGTGTGGCGACAGACGTAGCGGTATATCGAGAACGACGTCTCAAGAAGAATTGCAAGAAAACATCGATTTGAGCGAAACCGCAGAGAATTACGATTTGAGAAATCAATCGGATGGTGCGCCAAAATATAGATATTTGGCTATGAGTTTTCTGAAATCGGAGATTCGGCATAGTTACAACGCTAGCAAATTGCAGAAATTACATTTATTGCAATATGCTATTAAGAAGAAGCAAGAAGCGGTTCAACAGATCAAAGAACGGATATACAAGAAATCTGCCTTAGCCAACGAGTGGACACAATCACAAGAAGACGAAATTAAATTAAAATCCAAAAGTCGATCTCAGAGGAATCTCTTTTCTCCGGAAGAGGAGATTCTGGACATAGGAAAGTCATCGTCCCAAAATGACTTGAATAAAAATGGTAGAGTTAGAGAAGAAAGGCCTGCGGTATCTAACGGGCCAAGATTAACTCTAAAGTTAAATGATCTCCTATCTTTTAAGGTAAGTTTAACTTTGTAACACCACTTTAGAATAGTTCGCAATTCTCTATGCAGAACCCCCTATAGTGGTAGATACCACGGCTGTATCTATTTATACTACAAAGCAGCACTAGTGTTTCTGTATTCTTCTGAACCAGCGTAATCATAAGTACAAGAGATTTAAGATCTTATGCCCCAACGCCATATAAACAATACTAATAATCCCCAAGGCCTCATTACTTAGTTTTTATTTTTTATCTTCGACTTTTATGAATCTGACTTATGCAAAATATTTACAAGTCGGTCAACCAAATGGTGTTTCGTTCTATTTCAATTGCAGAAATTAAGGCGAAATGGTATCGTGGTTGCGTAGGTTTTGAATAGTGTACTAAAAAGAATGTAGAATGGCCCCTGTGGCAGTTCATAAAAATGTACACAATATAACCTTGGTAACGATGTGCACTAATTTACGTATTTCATAAACTATTTTTATAAGCCTCGCTTTAAATGAATAAGCCTTTGTTTAAGTAACATTAAATTAAAGTAAAAATAACACCAAATCAATGTTTATTTCTGTGAAATGAGCGGAAGAACATTTTTTTTCAAAAATTCTTTAATTTTTTACAACAGCGTGCAAAGGTACTTCATTAGACTGCATTCGCTAGAGATGAGGTGTATCGATAAAAAGTTTTCGATATTCATTTTTAAAATATGAACTTTAATAATGGGCAATGAATTAGCATGTCAGTGTTATTACTTTTTTGAAACCTATAAATTAATATGACAAAACGTTTTTTGAAATTTTCTAAAATATGTATTGAAATTACATTTGACTGATGATTGTGTGTTTTATGCCTTCAATATAATACAGAACACTTCACACGTCTATACATCTTTCAGAATACGTCAGAAAAATAAAACTATTAGAGAGAACTTGTGCTTCAAAAATCAAATACAACAAAAATATGTCGACTTTACCTCATCTCTATGACAAACGTCAAATGAAATGGCACCGGGATCATCCTAGTTTACATTTAGTACCTATAGAGACGGAGAAATTAGTTGCACGATAGACATTTGTCTTCTAGAAATAAAATATACCCTCTTACTATCAAATGAGCTCATATTTATTACGGATCACGGGAGACAAAATGTTAATGAAATATCTGTATTAACTATCGAATGAAACTTATTTTTCCGTAGATTAACGTAGCAAAAAATGGTAATACCGATAACCCATAGTCCAATACCGGTATCTTCCGTTTTCATTATCAATTATAATAACAAGTTCAACTCGTATTTTTAATGTCGAAAAGCGATTTTTCGTGTGATCGAAATACTTCACGTCTTATTTTGGGTCTCACTTAAGCTTAATAAAAAGATAATTAAGAAATAAACCTGCAAAAATCTTTATATATGGTTTATCAATAGACTTCTTTATCATGAAAATCTACGACCGTACCTGCTTTAAACATTAGTCACGTTTCAAGATTATTTGCAATCGTTTGTTTGTTGACGCTATCGTGATAATGTCAATTGATTCATTCTAAAAACAGAAAAAGAACGACAAACATTGCAGATAACAATCTATAATATACGGGATGATACAACTTTTAGGTCCAAGATTCAAGAAAGTGATTTTCGTTTTGTGACGGTATTGTTTCGAACGTGCGAATTTTAGTTTAGCCGGAATTATTCCCCTTCTTTAAGACTTGTTGTACAAGTCGTGGTGCCATGTCTCTTTCCAATAATTGATACTGGAGTTGACGTTATGAGTATGTGTAATAGTTCTCAGAATATTTGCATACAAAATCTTACTTCCGCTTGTGGCTGCTAGGGGCGCTGTACAATTTGCGCCACTAATTTGTGAAGTCAGCGGAAGCCAGCGACATCTGTCACAGCAAACTTATAAGACAAGCACTTATGCCATTAACTTAAGGTACATAAAGAAACAGACTATAAATGACTGTAATTCTTTTTTATCTAGGCAAAACCCTCCCCGTTCCAAAGAGCAGAACACGTAAGGCTGACCAAACAGCTGGAAATATTACGGTTCAAACGCATCATACTGTCAGACGAGACGGACAGGAAACTGGCTAACATTAGAAGACTGAAAGTGATACACGCTAAGTTATTTGAGGAGAATCAGGATCTAGGTAAGTTCCATACGAAGTCTAAGGGCGCATTCCCATTGTGTCGTAACGTTTTATTTATCGTTGGACGACTGTCGCGTCTAGCCTGTTCCCATATCACGACTATCTGTCGTGACTGTGTCGTAGACGTTTATTTATCGTCAGACGACTGTCGTTCTAGCTCTTCCCATTGATACGACAGTTTGTCGTCGTAACGTCAAAAAATTCGTGAACGACAGTTCATCGTGTTGTACTATATATGAACAACTTCAGTTATATATACAAGCCACGACACTTTAAACTGCACGACTATCTGTTGTCACGGTATAATGGGTACGCGCTCTAAGGTCACAGTAACATTGACTATCTTTTAGATCAATCCAGATGTCGTACTATAGCGGGCAGGGCTCTTCTAGATCGGAGACTATGGACCGACGCTAATAATAGGCCGTAATACAATTATAAAGGTTTCTTTTTAATCATAATCTAATCATAATAATATAATAATTTAATCATAAAATTATTTGCAAGACAAACAAGAGTTAGAGTAATGATGCACTCTCGGACACATAATTCGGGCCACCTTGCATTGTCAGTTATTAATTTCCCTATTTTTTTTATAAGCCCGTTTTGTCTCAGTGCCCGCCTCTCCCTCTTTTCCCGTTACTCTCGATCTTGGGCAAGATCTGGTCAGTCCTTAAAAAGGGGTCCAAGGCATCCTGCCATCGCGGCCGGGGACTACTGTGTCTTCTTTTTGATTTGTGGGTTGTCCTGGCCCACAACTCGCTCGACATGCGGCAGACGTGACTCATATCAACTTGGCCGCCTTCCGAGCCTTTATGCCGCAAGCTTAAAAAAATGTTTGGTCAGAAACCATTAATGATGGTGTACTAAACGTCATTTCCGTGTTGTAAATTCTCTCTATCTAAAGTTTCCGAAATTTACTGGAATGCAAAATCAATGCTTAACCACTTGATAAACTTGTGTTAGTTGGAAATTAAAACAAATTAATTTAAGAAAAAGACGGTTGACTAATTTATAACTGGTTTCAAAAAAGGAGAAGATTCTCAATTCGACGGATTTTTTTTTTGTGTATGTTACGCGTATACTCCGACGTTTGTGAACCGATTTCGATGTTACTTTTTTCGTTGGAAAGGGGTTCTCTTAGTAGTAATCCTGTTCAAATTTGAATAAAATATTCCACCTCTAAGGATAGCAAATTAGGGGATGAATCCTGTTTACTGATTTCACCCACTTTCCGTTAACCAATTGCAATAAAACTTGGCAAATGAGTATAATTCCACAAACTTTTGAGGTCGGTTTTTTAAATATTTATTTTCAAATTAGATCTGAAATAAAACAGTAAATTTGAAAAACCATGTCATTATTTTGGTGATTTTCTGCTGTTCAGCTAAATGTGCCGGTGTGTGTATTTAGAAAGAAAATATATTTCTCATCTACATTTTGCCATCCACATTTCAAATTGGTTTTAATTTTATTTCCTGGTTTTCAGGTTTAGAACTCCTCCAAGAGTACCACACGCTATCTCGTCGCAACGACGTATTAAAAGAGACCAAACTGTCCTGTGGTGCTTTAAGAGAATTGGCAGCCAGATCGCATCTTGCCTTGACCAATAAAAGAACAGAACTATTGCAGCAATTGCATCAGATATTTTATATTGAACAGGTAAGAATTTTAAGAGACGTTTGATTTACGACCGACATTGTATTTTAATTAAATATTAGGGGTTAAAGTATGAAATTGCCGTTTTATTGCAAAAG